ACTATCAACGATTTTTTTGCTTATGTGAATTTATCTCGTTGGAGTACAAAGATTGTTATGCTTGTCCATATTATGCTGCACAGACATGTTCGAAGTGATTACCTAATAATAGGAAGTTCTATTATATGAGACATCATTGGTAGTTAGATGATAATCATCGATTTAGATTTCAAAAACATCTCTTTGATAGAACTAAAGAGTTGAGAAGATCACTTTTACCAATTAGTAGGTCTAATATCTTGTCAAAGTTAAAAGATATCAATTTTACTCATAAAAAAATGATTCTATCAAGAAAAAAAGTGAGGGACATCTTTAAAGGTGTCTGACCTTATATTATGCAAGTTGATGATACTGATACTCAAGTTAGTGATCTTAATATTTAAAGTGATGAAGAAGATGACCTCAATTAGTCTGAGTTGTAAAAAAAAGAAGTATCTTTTTTGAGTTACCTTATTAGGAATATAATTTATTACGTTATAACTTTGATTTAATGCACATAAAGAAGAATGTTTGTAAAAATTTTATCAAGACAATTCTTAATGTGAATAAAAGATCAAATGATGACTTAAAGAATTGGCTTGACCTAGTTGATATGAGGATTTGCCTTGACCTTCATCCGAAGTTGCTTTCTAATGACAAATATCGATTGCCTCTTGTCTGTTTTGGGATTTCTAAAGCTGAAAAAGATGTGTTTTGGAAGGTTTTGAAAAATGTCAAAGTTTCTGATGGCTATGTGTCAAATATATCAAGATATGTGAATCTGAAGGAGCGAAAACTTTTTTCATTGAAGTCACATGATTATAAGACTTACTTTACATTGCTTTACGTTCATCAATGTTAAAGTAAGTCACTTCTGTGGTAATTAATTGAGTAACATATTTAAATCTCTATGTGAAAAATGTCTAAATGTGGAAGAGCTTGACAAATTTAAAGATCGAGCTGTAATTACTTTATGTCATTTAGAGAAGATTTTTCTTTCAAACTTTTTTACTTTTATGATGCATTTGGTTATCCACCTTCCATATGAAACAAAAGTTGATGGGTCAATTTATTATTGATGGATGTATCCTATCGTAAGATATTATTTGTTAACAGATTGATTAGGTTGTTATTGTTGATCATGTCACTCTAGTTAAAAAGATATATCACTAATGTTTTATGTGATAGGTTTTTAGAGAGGTTAAAGTCTTATTGTCGTAATAAATGCTATCCAAAAGGTTCTATTGCTAAAGAATATTTAGCAAAAGAGTATATAACATTTTGTTCTCGTTATTTGGAAGATGTTAAAGCAAGATTTAATAGACTATCGAGAAATGTTGGTATACAGCACACTGACTTTACCTACAGTTATCTTTTTGAAAGTTTTGGACAACCAATAGGCAAAGTTGAAATGGTAAAGTTAGATGATAAATCTTGGGCACAAGCATATCGATATGTTTTTTTCTATCATGACTCAATTGAATCATTTCACACGTAAGTTTTTTTGCAAAAAAATTATTCATTCCATTAAGCATAATTTATTGTATTTTTTTATTGTTAATACTTTATCATGATGCTTTGTAGCGAACATAAAAATAATTTGAGAGCTCCTGTGCATTATTGACGATCAAACTCTCGAAAACTTGATAAGTTATTTGTCAAAAATTTTCATGAATGGTTAGGAGCAACTATAAGTAATGCCACATTTCCCATTATGAGAAATCTACATAGAATGCTTACGGTATAACTAACATTAATATATTTATTTCACATTTATAGGTTTGAAGTGAAAGGCTTGTTAGTGAAGAGGTGAAGTGTCTTTCATAAAGTTCGAACAGGATTATGAAATGATATAAAGGTTTCATCATCAATGAATTTAGATTTCACACTAAATCCCGTGAGAGATTTAAAAGTACACAAAATTCAAGAGTTGTTACTTCATCAACTACTAGCTATCTAGTGCTAGAGACATAACCCTTTAGAGGAAAATATTGACTATTATAGCATGATTAATGATATCATTGAGTTGGATTATTATGGCAAGTGAAAAGTTATTTTATTTTGGTGTGATTGGGCTGATGTGAATAGTACGAGGGTTATTAAGAAAGATCAGTTTGGATTTACACTTGTGAATTTTTCTCAATTAATTCACACTGGGCAACAACTCATCGATGAACCTTATGTTTTTTCATCTCAATTCTAACAAGTTTTTATTCTAAAGATCCCAAAGAATTGGATTGGTTTATTGTTCTTCAAAACACACCTAGAGACTTATTTGATATGGGGTTAGATACCAAAGATGACGTTAAACATAGAACTTAATGTTATCTTTTTTATGAATAAAACTTGGATAAAAATATCTCCAATACCTACACTCAGTGGGTTCACGAAGATGTTAATGAAGACATTTATAAACCATGATAGATCATTTATATTTTGTAATTAATATCGCATTCGCTATTGTATATTTATTGTATTGTAAATCATACATTGTCTTTTGATTTAATTAAATTGATATGTTCTTTATATATTGTAGGTTATGATTTCTTAACTGCTCAATGTCTTTATATATGTTCTAAACTAATATATTTTATATATTTATTTTTATGATGCAGGTAAGCTATAATGTGGAAAAGTAGATTGAAAGGAATACATATAAGAGATATTAGTTCAGAATCGTCTGTGGCACCTGTTGATATTGGTGTTGGACTGAATTCTATAGAGGGGAATGAATGTACTGTTAGTTCTAACTCAGTCACTTCTAACCCTTCAACTACTATTGGATCTAGCAACACGAGAAGTCCAGGTTTAGACAGTATCCCATCAATTGATTCTTTTTTAAATTTGAATACAGGTATCATATACCCCATATTTAGAATTTGATTATAATGATTAAAGTATTGGCATTTTACAAATTGATTTTTTATTTTTTGTAGTTGATAACAATTGTTAACGGAGGACTAAAGGCCGGACAACTTTGAAGGAATTATTTGCACTAGCTTCGAACGAGCGTATTATAATGTCTGCAAACTCTGATAGGCAACCAATTAGTACAAAAGCTCAATTGTTGGTTGGATTTCTAGGCATGCTTGCCCGCAATGGAATGAAATTGCATATTCATTATGAAACATGGCATAAAGTTCTAGCAGAAGTTAAGGTCGATGCTTTAAACTTTATTGAGGTATTAGTATAATTAATTAAATATAAAAATATAATTATTTTACATTTGGTTTACTTATTCAAACTTTTCTTATTGTATTATTACAGTCAAGATTTATACTTGAAATACCAACTTCATTTGTGCTTAAGTCATTGGGAAAGAAATGGAAAAACTATAAACATAATTTGAAGAATAAATATTTCGATCGAAATATCACTATAGAGGCCACAGTGGAAAATCTATCCCATAATGTGATTAGGTAGCAATATGAACAATTAGTTAGATTTTGGTTCTCAAGAAAAAGAGAGGTACTAATTTATAACTTTGCATAGTAGAATGAAATAACAAAAGTGTTTTATGCTTTAAGTTGGTAATATTTATATTTCTACCACATACGCAATTATTTTTTATGATAGAAAAGAGAACAGATTGGGATTGATAGTAGAAAGCAATAGAAATATAGCCACACAAGTAGATTAAAAAGTTTTGTAAGAAAGTAAAAAGAAATAGTAAGTTTATGATTTTAAACTTATTCCAATGAATGAACTTTTTGTGCTGTTAAAAAGTAAAAATGTAAATTAACAGCTATTGTTCTATTTTAATAGTTTTGATAGTTTCAATACATGATATTAAACTTATCAAACATATTGAACTTAGTTGCCATGGTTGATATGTATGAAAAAGTTATTGTTTACATTTGTTTAGGTAAAAGTACAAAATTATTGTTATTTTTTTATTTTAACAGTTTGGATAACTTCAATACTTGGTATTAAACTTGTCCAATTGATTGAACTTAGTTTCTATGGTTGATATGTGTGAAAAGTTGTTGTTTATATCTATTTGGGACTATTTTTGCCTTTAAAATTTCAGCAGCTGGATGATCAATTCAATCATCTTATGAATTTTGTGCAACAACAATTTTCAAGAACTAATCTCGATGGTCCACCAACTCAGGTATTATATTTAGTAAATATTTATATTTTTTAATATAAAAAAGCTTACTTTTAAGTGTTAAAACTTGTATGATATTATTCAGTAGGTTGTTGAGCACGCTAGTGACCAAGATGAAAAAATTTCTTCATCAAATGACAGTCTTTCAAATTTATGCAGTCATCAATTTTATATATTTTTTTTCTTTTTTGTTAATGTATTAAAAAAATTTGAATGTTATTATACTAATTATTAAATTTTGTGTTAATTAGATGCATATTTGAACGTGAATTAAGTATTTATTAATTTCAATTTCTGAATTTAAGTTTATTTTTATTTCTTTTAATATTTCTTGTTAATGAAAATAATAAATATTAATAGAAATTTTTTATTAAAAAAAAGTAAACTTATTAATTTCACAATGTTCATGTTCAAGAATGTCGCTAAATTCTAAATTTAGTGGCATTTGTACCATAAAATACCACTAAAAGTAGCGGTGTTCTAATAAAAAAAACATCGCTAAATTAGCAGTGTTCCAATCATAAAAATGCCGCTAAATTAGAGACATTTTTTTGATATAAACACCACTAATTTAATTGTGTCTTATCATATAAATACCAACATATTAACGATTTTTTTTATATATAAATGCCACTAAATTAACGGTGTTTTTCAGATATAAACACCGCTAAAATAGTGGCGTTTTATTAAAAAAAAAACGTCGTTATTTTTCGCGATACGTATATAGCCAACATTTTAACGGGTATTTTTTGCAAACGTCGCAAATTTTTTAGTGGCACTTATAAATGTCGCTAAACATTGAAAAAAATGCCATTAAAACCCTAAACTCCTGTAATGCTTGTAGGAGTCTAGTCAATTCCATCTGATCCTCAACGCGGTTTTAGTTTATAAAAGATAAATATGAACATACCTGTATTCGCAAGGCGTTACATCATTTCCTCTCTCATCCTTCATGACCTTGCCATCATAAGCATGCATTGAACATGAGGCCCCCTTAGCTCCAGCCATCTGAGGATGACTAACCTTTAAATCAATTTGTCCATCAGATGGGCTCGCGTCACGCTATTGAAACCCCCAGTGAACAGAGAATTTGAAACGTATTGCTCCTCAGCCTTTGCAGCTATAGAATTATCCATCAGCTGATTGTCTGGAGTGGGAGGAATGTGCACAGTGTAGTTCATGAAATCTCCTGATAGCTCTCCTGACATGTCAATGTCTTCTCTTGATAGACTAACATACCGGCCACTTGAAGTTCGTCTAGCAAATTTTACAGTCTGTCCATTGGAATTACGTGAGCCACCCTGAGAGTTGCTAGAACCACCAGGGCTACGCATTCCCTTCTTAGATGGTTGGGAAGATAGAGATGCCATTGCTGTTTAATTGATAATGGTGTTTTACGATATTTGCATTAAAACTGATCTCTTCACCATTGCATTTCTAGGACGAGAGGCAAGCTTAATTTTTGTGATGCCTGGAAATGTTGTGTTTAGAGATGAGAGGGAAAGGTAAGGGTGTAAGGCAGAAATGAACGTATATCAAAATGGTTCAACTTCAAAATGAAAAGATAGAGGTAGGCGGAAGCAATTGTGAACATTGATAATTTCTTCCATTTCTCTTTTCCACTAATGTTGGGACCAAATTGAAATTTGATTTGAGAGAAAGAGCTGAGAAATAAGTATGGAAGAAAGATGGACTGATGGTGGGAGACCGAGTCCTAGGTAAGGGGTTGTTTTTCTGATGGTGCGTTTTACGGCTTTGATGGAGTTTTTTTTTTTTTTTTGTGTGGATGGCAGTGCATGTGTCTGAAGATTTTGCTCCATAGATGTTGTGGGTTATTGCCCATCTTCACTGCTTGTTAATTTGGTTACTTATGTTCGAAGTCAGTTGTATTTCCCAAGTCTATATTCAGGCCAAGTAGAAAACAATTGCTCCTACGTTTCCTCCCTCCTATAAGTGTTCTTTATGTCTTTTTCTTTATTTAAAGAAAGAAGAATTTTTATTTCAAAAAAAAAAAAAAAGAAAGAATTTTGTGTGTTTCTAATTATTCTTAACTAATACTGTTTTAATTAAGCTATAATACAATATTGCAAAGGAATTTAAAGAATTAACAAGTGTTCATTAAGATATAATTAAAAAATAATTAATTATTTAATTATTAAATAAATATTTGATAATTGTATAGATTCATTTTTGAAGTTAAAAACTCTATTAGTAGAATATAAATAATAATATGTTAATTAATTAATGCAACAAACATTCACTTATCATGTACTTTTATTATCAATGATTTTTTTTTTATTATGTAGAATCATTAATCAAATATCAATTAAATATATCTAAGCCAGTCGGAACCCACCTCTATGTATACCCCGTGACAACCATGAATCAATCCCACTAATGTATTCATTTTCTTCCGGCCACTTTTCAATTACGAGTGCATTACATCTGTAATTTTAATTATTATTTTGTAAAAAAAATATATATGTAAAATAACTTAAGAGGCAAGATATAAAATATAAAACCAAGTAATTAATAGATATTATATCAAAAGAAAATAAAAGAGCACATTTATACTTGTCCATTTTAATTGTTGTAAAGTCCCAAAAGTAGCTATTCTCGTTTTCCCACTTTTCGGAATTAGGTTTTTCTTTATGGCATAGCGAGCTAATAATACTCCCTTAACTTATCATAGATACTGCATATATGATACATATGTAATTCAAGGTTTTCACACACACACACACACACATATATATATATATATATGTGTGTGTGTGTTGTTTTAACATATGGCAAAACCTTTTATTTCAAGAGAGTAAATTTACAGTAACTGAACCTTACTTCTCCAAAGTCGTCAATTTTAAAGCAAAAATTGGCTGAGACAGAAATGGGGTTTAGGCTGAGCTTGCATGTTAACCAATTGTAATGGCAAAAGCCACTGGCCTGTACTCTCCCCAAAGGAGTTGGATCATAAAAAAATAATAATAATAAAATATGATTTAATATTTAATGCAGTAACAATATAAGTGATACACTGTCATAATATCTTAATTATTCAACAAAAAAATGCACATATGCAGACAATTAATGTTCACGAATGGAAATTCAAATGGAAAGTAATTAATAGTAGTTCTTCCCCATTATTTCCTATGCAGCTTTAACATTAATTTCTGTTTTATTCACATTTGTTTCAATTCATGAAGCTTCTACAATCATCTCATATGTTAGTTTTCTTCAATCTATGTAGTATATAATATTGAAGAGTAGTAGCAAGTGTGTGGGATTAATTTGAATTTTGAAGATAAAAATTTGAAATATATATGCATTAGTTTTAGTTTCTTTCATAAAATCTCTACTGTTCATATATAAATTAACCATGTTTGGAAGGGAAAGAACTTCCCAGAAAGGGAACAGGAAAAGAAAAGACAAACGGAAGATGCTGTCAGAATTTATGTTTTGTGCAAGAACTTAGACTCACTGATGGATCATTCTTCAGGCTGCAGCCTCCAAGCGAGATTCATTGTTTTGCAGCAGCAATTTTTTCCCATTGATATTGCATCTTGAAGAACTCGATCTTTCTCCTTCATAATGAAACTAAATACTGATCTCATTCTTGAATAGCAGTATCAATATCAATCACACAATTAATTTCTTTCTTCTTCAACTTAAAGAAGGCCAAAATTGAGATACCCGGGTTGACTTGTCTTCATCACGTCCATAATCCTATCATGAAAAACTAATCCAAAACATATACAAATTGCTCTTGATTCTAGAAATTATTAGATACATAGTGAAGACTAGAAGGAAGGCCTTGTTGCACTACTACTCCAACCGAATACATCACCTGGAAAAGGATAACTTCCCATGTTCGCTCCCAAATTATAGAAAGGAACGCCCCCGCTGCCAGCACCACCACTGTTTCCGCCACTGCCTCCATCACCCAACTGCCCTCCACCACTGCCTGTCACTCTAGACGACTGTGAAGCTGATGGTTGTACCTGCACTGGTGGGTCCTCCTCCTCCAGAGGTAACCTATCATAAACTGCATTTGCAAATGATGCAGCCATTAATACAACTGGACCTGAAGCCATCAGTGGACCCGCCACGCTCCCTCCGACTACTTGACCCTGACCACCGGCAATATAAATAGTCAAGCCACCAGCTCCTGGAGGCGCTGGTGGTGGAAGAGAAGTCCCAGTTAAAGATAGAATCTCAAACCGCCCATGTAGTGTTATGACACTTCCAGCTGGAGCAGCTGGTTGCCGCAATGTAACATTTGTGACAGCTCCAGTTCCACTGAGTACACAAACACCCCGCCCACGGCGCCTTGCATAGTTTGATACTGAATCAATTATGTCTGAACCAGAAGAAATTTCAAGTACATGGGATCTCAGCCCATTTGGACTGTCGCGAGTAATGATTATTGGTGGTTTGGGTTTGTTCTTTGAACCTGCTGGACGACCTCGAGGCCTGCGTCCTAGAGTGGTACCTGCGCCTGAGCTGGTGGTGGCTGTATCAGGATTAGTTCCTTCTTTCTCTGGTGAGTGTTTGGAATCCCGGAGTTGAGATGCGTTTAATTGGGGTTGCGATGATCTTTGAAGCTGCGGTTCTGGTCCGAGTAGCTGATGGACATAGCGAGAACCTATACCTGATTCCAAGCCAGACATCGCCAAAATCCACTTGCCAGCTGCTCTAATATCTAACTTCGATCTGATCTCTTATTAAAGTGAAAAATTAAAGAGAATAATTGGTAAAGAGAAGTGGAAAAAGGGAAAGGAAAAAAAATGAAAACTTTCCAATTTATGCAGAAACGTGTTGCAGACTAGGTTTTCTCATAAATCTCCAATTTATGCAGAAACGTGTTGCAGACTAGGGTTTTTCATAAATCATGAAGTACTGACATAGTTTCCCTGACAATTAGCTATGGCGAACAGAGATTATCTAAAGCATACTGGACAGATTAAAATGTCATTGTTCTTCTTTATGCTAACAGCTAACCGTGGTTCTGCAGGAATTAATTCAACCAAAACCAAGTGATCTAATTAAAAACAATGAAATTAACTCAAACATGATCAAATATCTTGGAAGCTAAGTACATGTTAAAAATTGCTGTTAAAAGCTTAAAAGTAGATGCTTTAAGCTTGTCTTCATACCCAGATCCAGATCTTTGCAAGGAAGAAGAGGACATGGATAGAAAAAAACTGATAATAATTAAGGGAAAAATGAAAGAGCAAAAACCACTTGATGAATGACTGTGTAGATATGTCTCATAAATGAAACTAAATCAATGAACTTTTTTTTTTGTTGAGAAACTGTGTATTATTTTACATACTGATACAATTATTTTTTATTCATTACCTCAAAATCAATGGGTTTGAATGTCTGAAAACCAAGCTTTGAACAGAATGGATTCAATTAGGAGACTTGAGTTTTTTAATTAGGGAAACAAAAGTGTAAAGCAAAGAGAGAGAGAGAGAGAGAGAGAGAGAGATTTCAATTTAATAGTAAAGCTAAAGATAAAGAAGGATGCTTTGATGACAAGCAACGCATGAAACTTTTATGCATTTTCAAAGGACCAAAAATGCATTAAGGCAAGTTTTAATCCACAACCGAGGACAATATCTTACCTCTCTAATATTAATTTTGTAGATTTTGGAAGAAGATGAGGGTATCACGTGGTATTTTAATTTTTTTTAATTTTATTTTGTTTGGTTTTTTAATTTTTAATTTTATTTTAATAGATAAATTTTATAAGAAAAAAAATCAATAATGCTAAAGATGACAAAATAATTTATATTTGATGGATTTTAATTTACCCAATTCAATATAAGTGGCTTTTTTAAAAAATTAGGATCAAATTACAGTTTTTTCCTTTTTTAAAAATCAAGATCGGATCCAAGATTGGCCTTAGGTGTTTTACCTCCCTCGTATATATAAAAAAATATTTTTATTATTTATTTAATTTTATATTTATATATTTATTGTATTAATAAAGTTATTATTTAGATTTTAATTTAATAAATTCACATAGCATTCCCATTTGGCTTTTTTTTTTTTATAGTTTTTAACTTTTTAATTAGATAAATTTTGTAAAAACAATCGAAAGTAGGGATGATAAAACAATTCATATCTAATAGGTTATATTTGCCTTAATCCAATAAATGCAATTTTTAAATTTAGGATCGGATCGAGTTTTTTTTTTTTTTAAATGAGTTTGGGTCGAAGATGAATTTAGGATGTTTAATTTCGTCTTGGGTATATATAAAAATATATATTTATTATTTATTTATTTGATATTTATATATGTATTATATTAATAAAATTATTATTTAATACTTTATTTTAATAAAAACTATATTTACTTGTAATTAAGATATAATTTATATTAAAAAATAATATTTTCATGAACTTAAATTAAATTAATATTATTAAATTAAAGTTTGAGCAATTTAGGTCGGATATGGAATATATATGTTACAGGTTAGGATTAAGTTTTAATGAATAATAATTCGATATTGAGTCAAAATCAAATTCAAATTAAATTATTAAAAAATCAAGTCAGAATCAAGTCATTTTTTATTAATTTGGCTCATTTTTTTCTATTTTGCTTAAACTAGTTTCTTTTTTTTTTTAGTTTTAGCATTTTAGTTTTTTTAATTATTTATTTTAGTATTTTTATTTACGTTTTGAAAGATAAAATGATAGTAGAAGTGTCTACATGATATCTCATTTGATTTTCTTGTCTTTTTGGTTGTTTTTGTCTTTTTTTCTTTTTTCTTTTTTTTAAATAAAATGAATTTTGTATGAAGTAGGGCTAGTGGAAGTAGAGATTCCAAATAGTGGATTTTGATCCGTCAGAGACTATTTTTTTTTTTTAATTGGATTTAAGTCGAGGTATGATAGGTTTTCTTATTGAAAACCAAGGTTATATTGGAGGCTGGTTTAAGGTACTTTATCCCATCCCATCGTAAGATATATATATATATATATATATATATATATAAAAGATATATATTATTTATTTAATTTAATTTATATATTATATAAATAAAATTATTATTTAATATATTTATTTAATGAAATATTATATTTATATAATTGAGATATAATTTATACTAAAAAATAATATTTTCATAAATATTATATTATTGAATTGAAATATGATAAAATCAGGTTAGATATGGTCTATACATTTATATATATATATATATATATAAGATCGAGATCGAATTAAAAATAATAATCCAATATCAAGTCAAAATCGAGATGAGTATAAATCTGCTTCCGTTTTTTTTTTTTTTTTTTTGCTTGGCCTTCTCTTTTTTTTATTTCTTTTTTTAGTTTTAGCTTTTTTGAAAAAATTTTGTTTTTTAATTATTTATTTTAATATTTTTAACTAGATAAATTTGAAAGAATGAATTTCTATTTAATTTATTATATAAATTATAATAATTAAATGCATACATTATCTACAAATTAATTGATAATTTTTCTCTAATCATTACTTTATTAAAAAATTATAAAAGAATTATACTAATTGATTTATTAAATTTAATATTATTAATTACAAATAAAAAATTTGCTCCCGCAATAAAATGCGAGCATGTTGCTAGTATATATAAATGTTTTGTACTTTTTCAAATTTATTTTAGTTAGGAATAGAGGTCCAAATTAAGTTAAAAGGTCTTTTTCGGTTTCTTCTACATATCAATTATCAACAGTATGAACTATGAAATTTTCTTTTCGTTATTTTTCAAACTTTTGTTCTGTAAAGGAATTTTTGGGCCAGATTTGGGTTAAGGGTTGAAAAATATATAACTAATTACTGTTGGGAATTATAAATACAACTAATTAATAATAGTAAGGATAAATAGAAGAATTGTTAATAAAAAAGTACCCCTTATTTATCATTAATGTCAAAATGTTTTGGGATATATTAATTGCATGTGGCATATGACGGATTTCAAGCTACTTTTTTCTCAAAACCTTTTTTATTATTTGTTTCAATATTTAATAAATTCAACAAAAATAAATATTTGATATATTATAAATATTATATATTACCAATCAATGTATAATAACATTTTATTAATAAGTAAAATTAAAATAATTAAATCTTTAAATATAAATTGCTTTTAGTAATTAATTAAACTTTTTTTTTATGAAACAATTAATTAAACTTAAAAAAACCTATTAATATTTATTTTTAAAAAAAATATGATTCTTTTAATTTTATTTATTAATAAAATGTTATTATAGAATTGATTGTAGATGTATAACACTTACATGCATCAAACATTAACTCTTAAAAACAATAACCTCATAAACAAAAACAAGGTTTCAAACACATAAATTGTGGAGCAGCGCTTTACTACCACGATCCGACCAACTCGCCACAGCGTCACGTTGAATTATTTTCCTATTAGAATTTCTACTTTCGTCTCTTTGAAAATAAAAAAAATAAGTAGCCAACCGATAAAATTCCCTTAATCCCTCCAATCTTAACCGATACTTTCATCTCCAAAAATTTTGATTTTCGTCTAACTACCTGAATTGATTCCATAATTTAACCTATTAAAATTGTAGTTTGCTATGATTGTGAATTCACTAATTACTAGGATACAAATGTGAAATGCCATTCAAGTTTCATTTTCTTTCTTTGGCCATTAATTTTCATTTTTTTTATGCTGATACATGGCCCATTTATAGTAATGTGTGGCCAAAAACCATTATAGTATATTAGTATTTTATATGCTTATTTTGGTGGACAACTAGGCTAGCATATTTCCAAATTCAACATATATAATTGCTAATGATCTCATCCCATATACAAACCATCATCATGAATATTATGCTTTTAAAACTAATCCGATAACCTTTTGACAAGTGATGAATAACCCCGTCGGATTCTAAAGAAAAGGAATCACATGCTTTGCCCATATGATAATTAACAATTTTTTTAATAATTAAATTATTGTATGTATAGAAGTACCTTTCTTGAGCCACCAAAAAGTTTATGTCTAATGCATGACTTAAGTACTATATATATATATATATATATATATATATATATATATATATACTTGGCCAAAGAAAAGTACTATACAGTTTAATTTAAATTTTTAATTAGTCCCTTACTAAGTAAAGGCATTTTTTCCACTTGCTTTTGGGTCACAATTATCACTAATTAAGGTCCAAGAGATCGATTATCTATAAATATAGTCTATACTTTTTTTTGAACTGGATAAATATGGTCTATGCTTTTAAAGGATAGATAATTAACTAAATAAATATGGTCTATATGTTGATCAAATTTTTAAAAGTTATGGGTTAAAGATAATTTAAATACGTAATTTTTTTAAGATGAATTAAATAAACATGATTTGAGAGTTAAGAGTATATTAAAAATTCAAAAAAAATTATTATCTAAATATCCATTATCCCTAATAACTAGCATTTTTATGTTTTTTTTTCTTCCTTCACCATTTTTGTCCATCCAAGGTAAAGTATTGGCAAGCCGTGAGGTAAAAAAAAAAAAAAGAAAAGACTTCAAAAAATATTGATGAATATTTTGAATTTTGTTATATTTGTCACTCTAGTTACTAGACATCAAATTGATAGTTTTTGTTTCATTTAATTTGTTTTGAAAATAATTTTTTTGTATTTTTTTATAATACTCATAAATCCACATTATAAATAAGTGGAGCTTTGGTTGGGATATAATTCATGTGTTGGTAGTTCAGAATGTGAGGCATCCCATATTGAATAGGAAGATTTAATTATTATA